GAATAATGTACTTCATCTAGGCTACTACAAGTAGTTTCTTTGAATGTAATAATGATGTTGTTTGTTGTTTGTGGAATCATTTATTGAAAAATGAATCTGAATTTTTCGATCTGTTACGATTATAAACTGAAGCAATATAAAAATGACTCCCATTAACTGAGTTTTAAACCTCAGCATATCCGGTCATAGTCCGGTAATTACCTGCTAACGGAAACTCTGCTACACAACTCTTATTATTATTGAAACATGACCGGTAAGTTTCAAATTTGTCCGGTAAAATAAATTCTGTTCGGACATTTGACCGGCGAGAAAAAATCCTAGCGGAAACCCTGGTGTGTGTGTGTGTGTAGTTGAACCTTTTCATATTTAAGTTTGTAGCAAGTAGAGAGAGGGCTGATGCTGCTGCGTGTGGGTGCGCGCGTGCGTACCCACACACACACGCAGCAAAAATGACAGCAGTGGACTTTTTCAAAAACGTTTCCTTTTTTTCTATTTATTCATAGATATGCAGAGCCATGCAGCTGGAGATCATCGGGTATGGGACCTTCAGGAGGCATGCTAAGAGTTACCTGGAGCCTGCTATTATCCACAAGTGGAACACTGATCAGCAGCAGAATTTCGATAATCTACAACAACAGGCGGGGAAAGGTCGCAGGAGATATGAGAGCCAGAGAAGGTGGCTAGGTGGACGTCACTGGTCAACCACCTACAAAACGTTCACGTGCATGATGACCCCCTGTTCCCCAAGTGCACACATCCTGTAGGAGCCGCAAGCGATGCAAATAAACCTAAAAGGTGGTAAATTCAATATTTCACTTCCATAAGATCAACAATATAGAATGTAAATATAACATTGTTGTTATGGCAAATTATTGTTGTAATGTTCTAATGTGCTGGTGATTTACCTAATGTCTTTGTCATTTTACTCAAGGCTCAATACTCGCCAGAGTTGAAACGATACTCACCAACAAGAGAGTTCTCAAAGATGTGCTAAAGCTAAGCCATCACTACCAGACCTCATCCCTGGAGTCCTTCCACAACTTAATTCTGCGGTTTACCCCAAAAAATGTGGTTTTCCCCTTCATTGGAATGTTGTGCAGGTAATACACTGTATACTTTATTCTGTAGCATCTTATAACACAGTCACTGTTTAGTGGCATGAGGGTTTTATTCTGTCATAACAGAATTCTGTTTGGCTCTATGAAACCTGATGTACTTATATGATTCTGTTTTCTTCAAGGTTGTGTCTTCCTGGTCGAATGTACTTATTGTAAGTCGCTTTGGATAAAAGCGTCAGCTTAATGTAATGTAATAACACAAAGTCTCATTTTATTTTGCTATTCTATAGGTTGTGTCTAGCAGCAATGCATCACAACGAGAATGCTGGGCGTGACCAAGCGACAACTGCTGCAGGAAAACTTGTCTTCAAATTGGCTTATCCAAAATCAAAGAGGGGAGAGTGTACGGTCAAGCCTGTTAAGAACGACCCTACATACAGTAAGTTGTGAAATATTTGTTATTATTAACAGAACTTACATTTCAAATGATTAAAGATACAATGAACAATAAAAGTGAATAACTAATTATTTATACAATGCTTTCTTTTTCAGTCTATGTGGATGAGCTGACGAGGCTTGTGTTTCACAAAGTCTTTCTGGACCCTACACCCTTTGTGGACGAGCTGAAACAAATCCACGTCCCAGAGGACCTGTCAATTCAATTTGACAGGCCCCCCAAGGAGGAAATGATTGTCAGCCGTTTCTCCCGTTTCCCCCCAAAGGAGGTCGAAATCCTACATATTGTCCAGCCAGATCTGGAAACTCCTGGCGGATCCGGAGCACAACACACGACGGAATCACCACTCTGATGCCTCGCCCTAAATATCCCCAGCACCAGCTTACAAAGCTGCGATACGCAAGATATTGAGAACGCCTATCAGGAGAGGAATGGATGATGTACATTTGTAAAAATAAAGTTTGATGGAAATACTTAGGAGCCTTTCTTTCCTGAATTATTTGCTCCTATAACATATCATTCATATACAGCAAACCATGATTTGATTTTTCATCAAACGGTAGTAGTTTATTACAGGTAACAATAACTTACTCTTCTTCCATTGTATTTGTCAAAGTCCGAAACTGTATTTATAAATATTGTGGAGATTCTGCAGGGTGTATGGGTTCAAGCAGTTAGGCTCTAGTCCTGGGTGGTCAACCATGCAGTTAATGGGTTCTGGAACTTGCAGCATGCGTGTTACAACCTATGAAGGTAAGATGTGTTAAAAAACACGTTTAGCAATTAAACCAACTATGGGAAAGGTTTACAAAATAAACATTAAATTACTAAGGAAGTAATAAAAGTGCATATAATAGTCTATTGACTTGACAAATATGTATGCGTGTTGGTGTTTTCAGCTAGCTGCCGACATAATGTAACTAAGCTAGGCTACCTTTCTTATGCTATTGCAGCACACGTTTTCTCCGTCACTTGGCATCAAAGCGCAGTTTCCACAACGGCACCTAAATAACAACAGTTGTAGGTACATCTGATGACATCTGAAATGTAAGACATATACTAGATAAAAACGTACCACAATGACACTGTTTGGTCTGCTCTAGTGAACGGCGAGGCAAGACTCGCGATTTGGTCCATTCTAGGATCGAACGGAGGTTCGAAATTGTATGCTCCATAGGCCATTGTATGCTATATGTAAGCTATCTATATAACTATCTATATCGATTCTCAAATCTAGTATTGCTATGTTGCTAAGTACCCGCTAAACCACTTTACGGCAGATGTCAACAGGGGCACCCTTAGCAAAAAAATCTATAAAATCCTATAGAATCTTGTAGAAATCTATAGAATCTTGTAGAAATCTATAGAATATTGTAGAAATCTATAGAACATAGTCGCCATGCTAAAGAAATCTGTAGAAATCTATAGAAATCTCTAGATCATTCTGTAGAATACTATACATTTGTACTTTTCTATAAACTTCTATAATTAAAACTATAACAATCTAAAGAATTCTATAGGACAGAACCGACTCATGACATATCTGTAGAAATCTATAGAAATCTCTAGATCATTCTGTAGAATACTATACATTTGTACTTTTCTATAAACTTCTATAATTAAAACTATAACAATCTAAAGAATTCTATAGGACAGAACCGACTCATGACATATCTGTAGAAATCTATAGAAATCTATAGCATTCAAAGAAAACATTTTTCTCTCTGGTGCAACCTATACTAAATTCTATAGAATGATATAAAACTCGTCTTTAAATTGGAATAGAGAAAATCATAGTAATCTACATCATTTTGTGGAACTGAGCTGCTTTGCAAAAGCTGTACGGGTAGATCCCTTTGAAATCTTTACAAATGTATACTGGATTATGTGCCCAATTAAATTATGTAACCTATCTAAACAAGTTTCTATGATACAGTATTCTATAGAATTCTATTGAGAAAAACAGTGATCCACAACATTTTATGAAACGCATTTAATAATCTGTAGATTTTTTATATCATTCTACAGAACTAGAATTATACCAAATAAATACTATTCTATACAGCAGATATACCGGTACTTGGCTATTATACCAAATGCTGAATATCCATATATTTGCACAATTTTGAACGGACTTCATTGTTGCTTATATGGGGATACAAACAAACAAAACAGTAGAGTCACTATTAATGCATTTATTACAATGAAAGGTTCACCCTGTACAGTGTATAAGAGTTATTTACAGTGAGAAAGACGGTAAACTGGAACTCATCAGTCTAAATACAAAATACATCTATATCTAGTCTAGCTCAAACTTCGGGAGTTTGCACAAATACATCCTGTCACCTACATTCATCATCACCCCTTTGTTTGCAATCTTCGTGGCTGGTACTGCAGACAACCTCAGTGAGGTCTGTACCAGTACAGTATCACTGGCAGTGTCACACTTTACAAAGTTATCATATGCACGGAACTGTGGAGCTTCTGGGACCAATGTCCTGTAGAATACATAGAGTCTATCACATCTACAATCTCCAATGCAGCCACATATGTTGTCCACCACTACCAATGAATGAATTCTACCCCAGTCCCCATTATCCAATAGGATTACAGAGTTGTCTCGCTTTAGATTTTCGCAATATGCGGAACTTGTATACACTTTACTGTCAATGATTGCTCGTGTGTAACAAGACATCGGAGAACCAAAATGTACAACATTTTGGTATTCCTGCAGTGCAAATCGCTCTGCAATAGTGAATTGTCTGATACGTGGTGTACCAAAGACGCTAACACTTGGCTGGATCTGGAGAATTTTCTGAATATTTTTTGTTTTACTCAACATTCTACACAAGAAAGTTCCAGCTTCATCGGACATTTGTTCCATATATTCCTCTGCATACAGTGTCAGTTTTTGTCTGGCAAAGAAATATCGGAAGACTTGCATTTGCACTGCCTGAGTCCCGGAAAACAAATCCAAAAGCTTTCCACAGGCATCCTCAAAAACAAATGCCGAGTACGTCCAAAGTGGACCCCAGTGCCGCACACTATTGGCCAGATGTGTCAGTGTGTGTATGTTGTAGGACATATGTTGTACTCCATACAATTCTTGTATCATGGTGACAAACTTCACCAGACACAGTTCCGCCATATTGATATCCTCTGGAGACACAAGAGGAGCCATGAGCACATTTATGGCATGCACAAGCAATAGCCAGTGAACGAAGTAGGCCCTTGGCAAGACGTCTTTCAGGACAACTGGCGAGTAACAGAGGAGAAACGATCTCCATTCTGACGCCTTCCAGAATTGGCGTTCATTCAATGAACGCGGAGTCCTTGTTATATCTGATGGCGGCTTCAACTTTGTGAGAGTGCTGTCGATATGCTCGAGCTGCTGTCGCTTCAAATGAAATGGCTGGTCATTATTGGCCCCATCCAACCACAGCTCGGTAATCTGTCTGACCACCCCAAGGCAAACAGAATGCATATATTCTGGCACAAAGCCTTTGATGATGTCAAACTTGGGAAGCAACAGTAAAGGGCTTGCACCTTTTACTCCTCTCTCAGAGTCCCTGTTTAGGTACTAATGAATTATATCCTCAAAACAAACGCACACATAAATAACAAAGGAAAATACATAATTTAATAAATCCACAATATGATAACATTTTACAGATTAATTTAATAAACTTTTACAAAACATAGTTTGATGTTATATCGGGGGGGGAAATACATATTTAAACATTTCAATTATTCTCTGCATATTTAAGTAATGCTAGTTTATATAACAGATGAACAGATGTACAATATCCAGAAAGTAAGTGCAAAAAATATATATGATGTGTGCATTTCCAACATATCCTCTGCAAGAGTGTTAGTCGTTGAGTTGAGTAGTGAGCCATTCGTTTTTTTTTTTCGTGGTGCGATGTCTGCTGAGAAGTCCTTGTATGCGTCTCCCGCTCTAACGTAGACTGGAAGTTTACAAGCACACACTCAATGAACCGGAAATGGAATTACGTCATCCCGTGGATCATCCAATGAGCGCGTAGCTCTTATCCGGCAGAAGTGGATCGGGACTTACCCTAAATGTGATTGGACAATTCGAAACCTCGTACCCAGAGTTCAATGCAGTATATTAGCGGGATTTTTGATCGCTGGAGAGTGGAGATATATTTATTTTGAAGTTGAACGCATTATCACTGATTTTTCTATTTGTATGTTGTATCAGCTTTACCAAGATTCAAGAACTAGTTGTGGAATAGATATAGATGGCAAACAAAATGGGTTTCGCTCTCTTTGACTTTTTTAATGAGAATGCGGTTGACATCGGCAAGGTTTCGTGGATCCAAGAGCCTTCGTCTTTGACAATGGAATCCGTGTCGGAGAATGAAACTGTTGTTAAAGTGGCGTGGCCCAAAGGCGGAGTGGAGGGGAGCGATATCCAATTGTCGCTGGCTAAGGTGGTCAAGTTTGCAGGTAAGCAGAATCCACACAATAAATATATATCTATCTATAGATGTTTTAATAGAGCTATGTCTAAATAATGTATCCTCACTCATAGCTTCGTTTTTATGAAATAATATTGGAAATAGTATATGAGCTTTATAATATCGGAAATTACTCACACTTTTGAGATCAATCTGAATCTGCTCTGAATCTTTTGAGATCAATCTCTGCTCTGAATCATGGAACCAAAAGTCCCACATATCTTGCGTGTCTGGAAAAAGTTATTTGGCATTTTTAGGGGGGGGCACTTGTTTTGCCAAATAACTTTAGCTAATTCCAAAAAATCTAATTAGTGTGTGGTCCGACTGCTGCATTACACAAATAAGCAGTCAACAAGTAATATTGAAGTATTGTGCAAGAATTTACCTACATGTAACTGTCTTAATTGACTTAAGACTAAATAAACGAGGCGCCACAATAGAATGGAATGGACTAGATCTATAATCATATAAAGCTTGCTATAGATGAGGCTGCGTGTGTAGTATACGGGGAATGGAGTAAATTGTCCAGTACATTTTGTGGTAATTAATAATTAGAAGAAACAAATGTTGGACAAAAAGTGTGTGTGCTAGCCGGTGAGAAACATTGATATTTGTAAGCACCCTGAGGGTCCCAGTTAGACTGCAATGTCTATATTCTCAGTCTACCGGGATCGATGTATGTACATATATAGGTACTCCTGTATATATTATATTATTATTGTTCTTTTCAGCTCAACGTAAGCAGCTTCTGCGGCACAGGGACGAGTTTGTGCGGTTAGGCAGTGCAGAGCTGCAGTCACCGGAACTGGGCCGAGGGAAGAGAGAACCGAAGAGGAAGCTCTCGGACATCGAAGACCATGATATAATTTAATTTGTTTACATTTCTCCATTTTAGATTTGGTGGTTTGTGTTTGTCTGCATCATACTGTCAGTCATATGCAGTATATGGCAGTTTAATAAACGTGTTTATATATAATTTATAATTGCATCCTAGTTTTAGGAGTGATGGTTACTGCCATGGTGGCTGGGTTTCATCTAACGTACCATGCATATATGCTGGCCTGTTTAATTAAATTGTGGAAGTGAGATACAGTTAATATAGTGTCTAGCTTTTGAGGAAATCAGTTAATCCATAGCAACATTTCACCATATTACATTATATTCACTATTTATAACTTATATTCATCAGCCATGACAAGTTGCATATATATAAGGCAATACATTTATTTCTATGTTATAGGAAGAACCATCCCTTCCCAAACCACCTTCAAACGCTGCCAAGAAGAAGAAGACAATGAGCAGCATGACATCATCGGTATTGGAACAGCTGAAGGTAAATATATATATATATATATATAAGCTCAACTAAGTGGAGTGTACTCTCAATACAATAGTAAGCATGCAACTCACTATTGTTTATGTTATGTACTATGTATTATCATTTTATGTCCGCGGTCCAATAAATAAAAAAACATATATACAATATCTATTTACAAGGGTAGAACTTCAAGATAATTTACAACTCGCCAGCAGGACTAGTGGTTTTTGAAATTCTGATACTCGTGCATATGGCTACATTGTTGTCAGCGTAGTGGTATTGCAGGGTGTAATGGTAACACATATAGAAGAAGTATAACTTTTGTGCCGTTTGACACCATTATATTTGGTTATATACACCATTAAACACCAACATTTCTGGTACCTTTATTTGTACTTTGCTTATGTATGTAGGTGTGTAAGTATGTCTACCCAAAATTGTGTCATGCCATGGGCAAAAAGAAACATCACCTAGTTTTAAATAATTAATAAATATTTATTTGCAGGAAAAGTATTCACACAGCCACGACAACAGTGGACCGCCCGAAGCCGCATGTTCGCATCCCGGCCAGGAATGCCGCAAAATGCAAACTACTTCAACAACAAATAGACATCCTTGAGGAGGAGAAAGCTACATTGCTGGCGTCATTGAGAATGAACAAAAGTAAGTGTTCAATTTCACTTATTCAGCATTACAGATAATTGTTTTATTACATTGGGGGGAAGACAGTCTGGCGGGTCTGATCGCAGTAGCAGTCCAAAACATGGAGGATGGGTGATTTGCATTATTTCTGCTAATGCATGAAAACTGAATGCTGTTGTGTTCCAAAACCTTTATATATAAAATGTTTATGAATATGTTTTAAGTTTACATTAGAAAAAATATGTACTTCGAACCCATGTCTGAAATGTGCCAATGAATATTTCCAGTCGCTGGAGATGTTGTTGCCAAATTGGAGCTGCTATGTCACACGCCAGCTCCAAAGCTGCCAGATATGACAATGCCCATGAGGACACCTCCAAGTCCCTTCAATCGAGAGTCAAGTACACTGAGGTAAATTAATGAGTTTTACATTTTTTATGAATAATTATTACTGTCTTTTGGGCTTCTGTTATAATTGTAACGATTCTAGTACACACTGGATTTTGGTTGTACATGTCTCTGGGCCATGCAGTGTTTAATTATTTACAACAAACCAGCTTTTTCTGTTTAACTCTTTCGGCGCGGCAGGCGACTAGTCGACGTTTGACCTTAATGCACTCGTGGCCTACATATATGAATGGAATATATATATATCAAATATATATATATATATATATATGAACTAAATATATACATATATGAAATACATATTATTTGAAATACATATATGAAATATCCAGCGCTGAGCAATGCACAAAAAATATAAAATTAGCGCCAAAAGGGTTGAGCACATTTTTCTAACAAACACTGCATACTATTGGGATGTGAAGTTAATTAGTTATTACCTTGCGTGCCTTACAGAGATGGAGATGATGGAGATGCATCGGTTGCTGGTTCCCCATCAGCAAAAAAGGTAAGGAATTATCTTTTCAATTTGATGTTTCCGCTAAGTAGGAAGAGAATTCCAGATGTATTACTTCCAAACTCATCAGCTGGACTAGTGTCATGGTGCAGTGCCTGTGTCAATTTGTATATTCAATTTTAATTATATCAAAATTGAGCCTCCGTGGCGAAGTGGTTGGTACCGTCAGCAGCAGATCAATTCAAAAGAGTAGAGAATTGTTTAATCATTCATTTCATTATTCCAGATCTCTTAATTGGCCTGGAGATTGTGCAAAATGGTGGCCTAAAGATCCATTTCGCCATCACCATTATAATATACGTTGAAATTCCAATATCATCCACCTACTGTAACCTATAGCAGCATAAATTCCGATTGCAAACTCCAATATCATCAATTGTAATACCTGCTTCAGTCTGTGTGGATATTAGATGGTTATATCTAAGGGACGGGTGGCGCAGTGGTCTGTGCATCCGATCATCAGATCAAGGGAGGAGTGCTGGGGAACTCCAGTTCGAAACCCGCTCCTGCCGCCACTGTGTCAAGCCGTTGTGTCCTTGGGCAAGACACTTCACCCGGATTTGCTCCTGTGGGTAATGTCCACAGTACATGTATAATACCAATGTGTACTTGTAAAAGCGCCTCGATGTCTTCGAGGCGTGAAGATGGACGGTGTGGCGCAGTGCGCTGTGCAATGATCATCAGATCAAGGGGTGAAACCCGCCGCTGCTGCGTCTGTAAAGCCGGTGTGTCCTTGGGCAAGACACTTCACCTGAACTTGCTCCTGTGGGTATTGTCCACAGTATCTGACCATTGCATGTATCATATATGTGTAATGTGTGCGTGTAAAGCGCTTTGAGTCATTGATAAAGCGCTATAATAAATGTAAGGAATTAATTATTATTATTATTAATTATTAATTAATTATTATTAGATGGTACATTATTATTATATATATATTTTTTTATTATTATTATTATTTGTTACTTGTCACAGTCAATTAATAAAATACAATATTATGCTGTTGGATTTCATTGCAGTTCCCAATAGCAAAGTGGCAGATTAGGCGATGTTCGACCACCTCGCTGCAGAAATTCATCAATGACCTCCTCCATGGCCTGTATTGCACAGAGTACATGGCCAAGCACTCACTTACTGGCTACAAGGCCAGTAAGGAGTCTGATGCTGGCAAGAGGAAGGACAGCATTCCACAAGAAGAGGTTGCTGAAATAATTGGTAAGATTTGTTGATATGTAGCAATAGTCCCAGCTAACAAATTTACGTATTAACTACGTAGTTACAACGTAGTGGTTTAGTAGAATTTCTGGACTGCCAGATACGTTTTTTTACTACGTAGTGAAATTACCAAATGGGCACTTTCTCATGACCTTTCGGCTTCCCCTGCAAATGTTTGTTTCTACTTTGTGCTAAACTTTGCTTCACATATCCTCCATGTTCTATTAAAGAAACATGTCATATTTTATCAAGACATGTCGTAGTTCCCGCTGTAAAAGCGCAATATCTGAACAAAGATCGTACCAAAGATTCCAACTGCCAAACCGCCATGCAACTGCTCTATACATTGTGTGCAGTGTGCACACTTGTTCAGTTTACTTTAGTAAAATGTATTCTAGTTTTCACACAATTTTCACATACACATACAAAAACTAATAATTTTGTTCTATGGAGAAAATTGCTTCTATGCATTAATTAAATAACGTTAAAATTAACTAATATGTACAAAAACAAATCTCAGATCACCAAATAAACATCTACGTGTCCTTGTTACGTATTCACAACGTAATATAACTACGTAGTTGGCCTAACGTTGCTGAAGTACGTGCATAAACATGTACTATGTAAATACTACGTATTTTCAAGACATTACCTAAACGGTACCTAACCACTACGTCATATATACGTAGTGTGTTAGGTGGGAGTATGATGCAACTTGGCAAATAAAGTAGATTTATATTGAAATCATGTGCAAGTTGAAATCTTCCAAGTACATGGTAGTTATACATATTTTGTAGTGTAGTGGAAAACAATGTTGTGATGCTGGGAATTAAGTGAACTATTTGTAGAGTTTCTGTGTAGTAATATATAGTCATAAATCGACCATCTATTATAATATGAATACATGTACTGATTAAATTACTATTTATATTAACCATTGCATTAAAAAAAATTGATTGATTTATTACCTTCATGAATCAATATTCTTTGGTGAATGGCTTTAATGCAAATTTCAATATATTATTCTGTTATAGCGGCAGCAAAACAAATCTTCACCACCAAGACGGACATGGAGGTACGGCTGGCCATCCGCCAGAAACTGAATGGGGCTGCCAAAGTGGTCTCGGCAAGGAAAGTGGCAACACCTCCAGACGCCAGCCAATAGAGTACAGATTCATCATTCATTTCATTATCCCAGAAGGTCTCTTGGCCCAAATTCGCATAACTTGCGAAAAAGTAGCTTACCGGCATAACAATATTATATTAAACCTTGTATATTGGGATATAATAAATAAATATAAATAATAAATGTATATAGCCCAATGTTCTATTACATTTATGCTCAGTTTGTATGCTCTAATCTTGGTACTTTTAACACACATGCTTATTTAAGGTACTTTATATTTGCTTGGATAGTAACATATTTTACTCACTGCCATGCTTCACAATTTTTATTGTATTCTGATGTAAATGCTCCAGAATTTCTGTGACTGCATCTGTATGTATACGTTGATCACTTTTGTTATGTAACTAATTATCTGTTACAACTGGAGATTAAAGCTAAGTGATATAACAATAGCTATTGTTAGTGTGAGTCTGTTACAAACAACTCATTGGAGTCTGCAGTACTCTACTCTGTTTTTCAGTCTATTATATGGCATGTAACACATAATTACTGTGGGGCATTCTCTAAAACATGTATCAAATATATAGCTGTATGTGACTCAATATCAGGCATTGCTATATAATTCAATATTCTATATAATGTCACAACACATGTGGTGTTAGCTATAGAAGATTCTGTATTGTCCATTCATATTGTAGAGCTTATTCTATAGAGTACAGAGCAGTTATATAGAAAACATCCATGGATTTAATCTATAGGAAAATCTATAGGTTAATTCTATAGAATTTCTACACCAATCCTGTACTGTTCTGCAGAACAATTTTATAGAAAACAATAGCAATTTTCTATATGATTCTATAGATTATTTGGTGGAATCTATAGTAGAATCCATAGGTGAATTCTATAGAATATTTGCCACTATCCTGCAGTATATTCTACAGAAATTCTATAGAAACATCAATAGATTGTTCTATAGATTATTTTGCAGAATCTATAGTAAAATCCATAGGTACATTCTATAGAATATCTGCAAAAATGCTATAGTATTCCTCAAAGAAGTTCTATAGAAATATCCACAGATTCTATAGAATATAGGTCACTAATGCTATAGTTTTCTACAGAATGGTATTCTACAGAACACTTCTATAGAAAGCATCCATGGGTTTTTCTATAGGATTCTATAGATTATTTTCTACAAAAAAACCATCTACACAGTATATATTTTCTATAGTACTATATTCTATAGATTATCTATAGTAACATTTCTATAGTATATCCGCAAAAATCCTGTAGTATTCTACAGAACATTTCTATAGAATTCGTCCATAGATCTTTCTATAGTATTCTATAGATTATTTCCCAGAATCTATAGTTACATTTCTATACTATGTCCGCAAAAATCCTGTAGTATTCTACAGAACATTTCTATAGAATTCGTCCATAGATCTTTCTATAGTATTCTATAGATTTTTTTGCTAAGGGCAGAGCCTCTCTGGTGGTTGACTAATCAGAACAGAGTGGCAGAGCTGACCAATCGGAGCACAGTGGACGCACAGGAGGGTGGGGGCAGGAACTCCATCGAGCCGTTTAGCACAGGGAGTGAAAACTCATACTATACAGAGATAATGTATGAGAAACCAATCTGAGTTTGGAAAATTGCACAGTATTTTTCTATTGTAATATCCATGGGCGTCGCCTGGGGTAGGCATCCGGGGCTTTAGCCCCGGATGTTTTTTCTTTAGCCCCGGACAAATTCTCCCTCAATAATATAATACATTAACCGTACTTTACCTAGAGGACGGCAGGATTGTAATTTCCCGTGTTCAGTGAATGCAACAGAGGCAAGACACCACCAGACCAATCAGAGAGTTGCATGGAAATAAACGTGTTTTATTGGCTGACAGGTACGTACCTCTCCTCTGTGACAGTGTTTGAACTTTAAACTTTCAGCCGCGGACGCGTAGTTTCTGAAGATGGACATTAGACATTTTTTTAAATAAAAAAGGCGGCAATTCTCAAGTGGTGGCTCACACAACAACCCCAGAGCCACCACCTGAGCCAGGTGAACAAGGTATGTAAATGTCATTAAACTTACAAGTTATGCGAACATGTAAGCAAAGCATAAATGATAGCTACGTTGACGTTACTTTGAATCGCGCGGGTAAGCTAAACCGTTAGCAAGTAGCTATAGCTAGTAGCCAGATATATTAAATAAACACTTTGTCATTCAATCTAAATGTTGTGTTTTTTAGCGTTACCTGATGATTTCAAAGAAAGCTCTCTGGGAAATGTTGACTTACTGTCAGTGTTCGACATGAAGCTAGAAGCTACCTTACATTACACAGTTGATCCGGAGTCCTGTCAGTTAAAGTGTTTCATAGTTAGCTTAGCTAAGCATCAACCTAGCACTGAAATATATGGATGTTATGTGACAGTATTTCTGAGAAAAAGTCAGCTGAAATGGTGGCATAGTTAACACTGCTTTATGTGTCAACAGCATGTTTGAACGTATTTGCAGCAGTAAATGTGGCTGTCTGGCCACTGACGTTGCCATAACAACACCTGCATTTAAATGTGCAACCTCTTTTGTGACAGATTTTTGCAAGAAATTATAATTCTTCTGATTGATATTTCCTATTGACAGCTAGTTTCTATGTGAACATTATGAGATGGACAGCCAGCTAACAAGCTTTGTATACAAATATTTCAGATCAAAGTTAATCCAGTGGGGCTCCTGAAAGGGGGAAGGGACACTATGCTCCCAAATATTAAGCCTTGACCCCCATCTTAAAATTGATATGATCAAAAAATGATCTGCATTGTTGGAGGCCTTTTTTCCTCATTATCATGTCAAATTGTAGAGCTTTCTTTAGTGTTGAATGCAGAAAGATGACTATATTAGAGTATTAAGTGAAAATGACTATATTAAAGTGTTAAGTGAATATATTAAGTGAATTACTCAAACTGCATTTGTATAGGAATGATTCTGTCCTATTGGCAGATAACTACTCTTAACAGTTATATCTACAAGAGGTTTCCAATGTAAATTTAACTATTTTCAATTGGTTAGTAGGGGTGTAACTGTACACGTACCCGTACCGAAATTATTCGGTACGGGCCCTTCGGTTCGGTACAGGTGTGTACCGAAGTGTACCGAACGAATATAACGTTAAACGTAAAAAATTGAGAACGTGAATAACTTTTTGGAAGTAATCTCAGGTGCTGCGTCGCAGCATTCAGAGTAATTTGCTCACATTGGGTTCAACGCGTCATAGAGCGAGCAAGTCATTTCATTGGATGAGAGGCATACTATGAGAGCTGGTCAGAGGGATGCGTTCAAATGTAGTCAGTAATTTGAGGAACTGTCAAAAATTCATGGCGAACGCAGATAAAGTTGAGCTCGAAAATCCTCCAGCTTCATTGAAGTCTCCGGTTTGGGAACATTTTGGTTTCGCAGTTACGTACAAGGATGACGGACAAAGACAGGTGGACCGAACCAAAGCTGTTTGTCGGCATTGTTCAACTAAAATTGGTTACGCGGCTGGCAATACATCAAACTTGCACACTCTTGAAAAGGCATCACCCGAACGTGAATATCACCGGTACCAAAAGAAAAAAGACTGAAGTGCAAACCCAACTCCCACTAGCATTTAAGCCTCCACCACTCGCAGAAAGTTCAGACCGAGCCAAAGCTATTACAAACGCCAAATATCCTTATGTTGCCATGTTAGCAAAGCGCTACCTGGCTGTATCTGCTACCTCTGTCCCTAGAGAGGGTTTTCTCCACAGCAGGAGACATTGTTAGTGCCAGCAGATCTGCCCTTTCGGCAAGCAATGTGGACAAGTTCATTTTTATTTAAAAAAACATGAAAATACAATGACAAGCAAGTCCTAATGTCAAACTGGCTGCTTAGGTGCTAGTACAGTAGGCTACAGTTCAAATACAGATTATTTCAGTTCATCGAAATGCTGCACCTTAATGTTCATTTTATTATATTTTGTATTTATTTGAGTGAATATTCACAGTTTAATAATAATTAAAAACCCAAAACTAATAGTTTATGTTTTGTGAGTACTAGTACAGTAAAGTTCAAATACAGATTATTTTAGTTCATCGAAATGCTGCACCTTAATGTTTATTTTATTTTGTATTTATTTGAGTGAATACATTATTCACAGTTTAATAATAATAAAAAAATATATATATATGTTTTGTTTTGTGAAAAAAAATTCTGCTGTACCGAAAACGTACCGAACCGAACCGTGACCAAAAAACCGAGGTACGTACCGAACCGAAATGTTTGTGAACCGTTACACCCCTATTGGTTAGCATTACATTTTGTGACAGTGTGGTGACACTCATTTTAATGAAGACCCATTTGTGTATCTTGAAATTCATTTATTTGACAGAGCTGGAAACTGATTGACTTACATACTTGTTTGTGTTTACCCACAGTCATCACAGATGAGCCAAACAGAGTAGAGGATGAAGAAAGGAGAACAGGAGAAAGGGACACACAAGAAGGAGATACAACAGACAAGAACGACCATGGAGACAACAATGAACAGGAACACCAGAACAGACAAGAGTCAATGAGTAACATGACTGATTTAGGGACTGCAGATACAGGGCCAAGGCAAGTGAGACACCACTGCTTTCCATCCAGCATGTTTGGCCAGCAAAAGAGATCATTTCAACCGCAAACAGCAAGAGATGAGGGATTATTATTTCCTCCTTCCATCCCTTTTTTCTGTTTAATCTGATTACTAACAACTTCTAATAATTTGACATAGTTTATGATTTAATTGGAAAATGAAGTGTTTTTAAATAATAAACCCGTTTCTGATTCTGATTCTTTGATTTCTTTTTGACATATGGGTGTTGAGAGATGTATCCATATCTCTTAATGTTGCTCTCAAAGTGCACAAGATTGATGCTTTTAACTTCAATATTTAAAAAAAAAATCTTCCTGGGGCCCCCCCCCCCAGAGGAGGTGAGTTCCCCCCAAAATAGCACTTTGTCTGTGCTTATGTAACTCCGGTGTAGTGTCCCCTCGGCAACAGATCACTCAGAGCTGGTGATTACTTTCCTGCATTTCAATGGACAGCATATAAAAAGGACACGTGAGCTGCATTGCTTAAGAGATCCTCACATGCTATCTCTTTTACAAAATAAGTGTCCAGTCAACAACAAAACATCAGTGATCGTATAGTGGTAGTATATTTTTCACAAGCAATGTGAAACATTAAACTTATACAAACTGGTGTTCAAAACTCACATAGCTGCGTTGATCTCCTGGAGTGTCTCTACTCTTTCTTCTCCACATCTCTTGTCCACCATCAGAGATTGCAAACATTTCAGAAACAGCTAGAGGTAGGGGACAAACAACTTGTTCGCTGGGCATGTCAAAAACCTCCTGCTTTGATCAAGACTTTAGGGAGCCTTTAGCCCCTCTAGCAAAGGGACTGGAAAGCAAGCTTTGAAAATTCAGTACCATCTACATGCTGTCATGTTCCAGACACTGCTCTCAACCACTCAGGGCACAAGAAACAATTGACTTGGTGCAGGCAGTAGATTACAAAACAGCAGTTGAGAACACACTGAAAAGTTACCGAAGTAACGAGAAAGCACATGAGGTCTATGACAAGACCAAGGCCCTGTGCAATGATCTTGATATTCCCGAAACTGTGACACAGAGGAAGAAGCGTAGAAACATGGAAGACTTTGTAGTCGAGGCATCATGTGGAGCAATGTGAAACATTAAACATAAATAAACTGGTGTACAAAACTCACATACCTGCATTTCAATGGACAGCATAAAAGGACACGTGAGCTGGGTTCTGGTGCTCAGATTAGCTATTGATGATCACGTTGATAAATCATATAAAACAAATAGCCAATCACACTAAAAACATGTTGCTGTGACTGTGAGCATGAAACAATTAACATTAAACTAAACAAACACAACAGTACGTTATTGTCCTTATAAAATAAAAACATACATTTTGTCCACCGAGATAATACAGGCACCTTACCCTCAAGAGATCCTCACGTGCTATGAGAATCTCCCACAATCCATTGCCGTAACAAAGCTAATGCAGGCACACGTTTGTGACACCAGATGGCGCAATTGTGTATGTGCGTGTGGGGAGTCTTGCAGTAGAAAATTCGACTGTAGCGCCGCCACTGTGGGCTAAGCCCCGAATGTTTCCAGGTCCAGGCGACGCCCCTGGTAATATCCCTCAACAATGGTATTATGATCAGTAGAAAGGACCATGCAATGGGACCTTTAAGGAGTCATTACCGCTCATCGTTATTGTTGTTGGTGTAGATGTAGATGGCCCTTAAGCGTTTCTTTTTAATGTTTACTTAGTTGTACAACACCTTAGAAGTAGCTTTACTGTTATCATCAGGGTTAGGAAGTTACTAGATAGATATATATATATATATAAATGAACTAGTATTTTTTAAAAGTGTCCAACACTGGTCATCATCTAACAACATGTTTTGAGCGCAGTGAAAATCTTGTTTCGCAAAAAATATAATGATGATAATAATAATAATAATAATAGTATAATAGATTGAAGCTGAATATTTGGTTGGATAAAACATGTTGTGAATTCTTTTTTTTTTAAAAAGAAAAATCTTGACTTTTGGGCTTTTCAACATTGGAGTTATTAAAAGTGAATGGTTGAAACGAGTCAAAAACGATACTATGCAGTGGAATGTTATTGTTTTAAAAGTATAATGCTAATAATATTAGTGAAGCATCATTCTTATCTGATAGTATGCAAAATAAACAAAATAAATATATAAAAGCTGCATAGCATTCATATGATTTAGTATTGAAGTATCAACATTAAGAATGGAGTTTCAAAGCTTTCAACTATTCTGTACAGGCCTAGTTATATTTTCAACCCCGCAGGGTTGCAGCTGAAAGACTAAGGCTTGAACTGTCATAAAAGCCATGCTTTCTCAAATGGGGATATATAAATTATCTTATATTTATTTATTTAAATATATTAATGCACATGTTACCAACACATTAAATCATCCAAATACACACATTGTATTAGGTTATCTACGTGTGCCCTTCATGGAGCAGTCCTATTCATTTAAACATTCACACAGTAAGGTTTTTTTTGTCAGCAGCAACTATGCTGCTTTTAGTCTGGATTATGAGTTTAAATTATTCATATTAATAAGTTTACAGTCGGATTTTTGGTTGTAAAATATGCCTCTCTTCTTAGAGTTTACCAGTATACCTGTCCATGTTAACCATTGGTCATATGGGTCATGGCTAGTTATTTACCAAGTTGATAACTACTGTTATGTGACAATTTAGCTTGATTGTGGCTATTAAGGTTAGTGAAGTAAGATAACACAAAAATACCCAAAGTATGTGAATTTGCTTTGTAGTATTGTCCTCTGGATGTAAAAGCTATTTAAAATTGCCGGTCTTCTGGACTGGATGATGGAATGGTGGTAGGAGCACTAGTTAAGGGTTTGGCGTTAGGACTGGGTGAGGGAATGGTGGTAAGAATGATAGTGGCGGGTTCAGCGTCTGGACTAGGTGAGGGGATGGTGGTAGGAGCACTTGTGGAGGGTTCAACGTTGAGACTGGGTGAGGGTTGTGGGTTAGTCCAACCTCAATGACACAAAAAGACAAAACTATCAGAGTAATGTTGATTTGTTTTGCATTTAGCAGCTCAATTTCTACTTTGAATATATATTTATACAACATATTAACCCAATTGTTTCTGATGTCAGCTTCTTCTTAATTGCACATTTATTTTATATATGATTATGATTTATATGATTCTGTTTTCTTCAAGGTTGTGTCTTCCTGGTCGAATGTACTTATTGTAAGTCGCTTTGGATAAAAGCGTCAGCTAAATGCAATGTAATGTAATGTAATTTTACCTAGACTGTGTGTGTAAAATTAAATGAATTGTTGAATCATTAAGTATTTTTTCCATTAATTGTTCGTGAGCATTTTAGAATAGACTATGGTAGGCTATATGGTAACTTTTGAAATGACCACAAAATGTAATTGCTTACCATCTACTAACACCTCATATAAAGCCTTCATCCGGTCAAGGCATTTTGCAGCCTGGTCCGACAGATGCCATCTCGGATGTGCAACATGTGTCTTCCAGGTGGAAGGCCTTTTCCCTGGTTTTGAGAGAAACACCATGGCCCTATACCCAAGGGTGTTCAGTTTCTAAACCTAAAAAAAAAAGATTTAAATGTAATACAGAAACCTTATCGGACTTAATTTTGTAAACTACAATTAGAGACATAAACACACACCAAAACAGATGCCTCATCAAGAACATGTGAGTTGGTTTTGTTCTTTTTTTTGGCCTAAAATGTCTGCAGTTTCTTGACCAGTCGTTGCTTTCTCGGCTGCAGTGTTTTGCAGAACTTGCAGGTCTTGGTGGCCACACCAATGACTGCTTTGCAGCCTACGCAGGTCGTGTTTTTGACCCTCTTGGCATCTTGAACCTGCAATAAAAACAAGCAAAAATATTAACACCAAATTGACAAAAGAAACTAAATAACTTTAATATTATCAAATTATCAGTTTGTCATGTAGGCCTACCCTCCTTCAATGTTTCAGTGAAATTTCTGCCAGAATACTGGTGGTGGATTACAGGTGACTCTTACATGCCTTCTGTTACCCACCTCTATAGTACACAATACCAGTATGAACCTGGTTAACCATGCAAAGTAGCAGTATCGGAGAGAACCATCTTGCACCAAGTCTGTACAGGCAGGTCTAGAAGATCCATTCTGAACTATCTACTGACAGGGGGGGATGGTTTGTTTAGTTAGTGAAAGTGTACACTTATTTTGTTAAAATACCTATGACATATATATATATATATATATATATATAGTATGTATTTTACTATTTCACATGTTCACTGTTGATGTTCTTATGACTGACAAAAGAGGAATTAAGTATGGACAGTGTTCTTTGACAGACATCAATCGATACCACATTAGTGTCAGCGCATACATCTTGAGATGAGATACAGACCACATTAAAAACATTGTTTATACTCTGTTATATTTGTTTTCAAATATTACTCAACTGTTTCAAGTAATAATATATTTGAGCAATACATCAGGTTCAAATCAAATCAGGTTTTATTTATATAGCACATTTTAAAAACTATTTTTGGTCGAGCCAACGTGCTTACATTCAAATGATAAATAACACATTACTACAATCGCAAAACAGAAGACAATAAATTACAACAGCAAATATAAAAATCAAACAGGGAAATGTCATGAGTCGTGCTCCGCTCTGACTAGAAGGCCAGGGAGAAGAAGTGAGTTTTTAGTGTTGATTTAAATACCCATAAGGGTCTGGGCCGACCTCACATGGAGGGGCAGAGTGTTCCAGAGCCTTGGCCCAGCTGCTACGAAGGCTCGGTGCCCTCGGGTTTTGAGCCTGGTCTTGGGCACTACCAGCAACAGCTGGTCAGCCGACCTTAGTGCTCTGGCTGGGGTGTAGCAATGGAGGAGTTCTGCTATAGGCAGGAGCCAGCCCATTTAGTGCTTTAAAAACAAATAAAAGGAGTTTAAAATCAATTCGGAACCTAATTGGAAGCCAGAATTGGGGTGATGTGGTGACGCTTTTTGAGGCCAGTGAGAAGACGTGGAGCTGCGTTCTGCACTAGCTGCAGGCGTCTAATTGACGCATGGTCCATACCAACATATAGAGCGTTGCAATAATCCAACCTTATGGTTACAAAGGCGTTAATCACCCTTTCTAGATCTTTAAAAGATACAAACAACTTGGCCTTGGCCAATAGTCATATTTTAAAAAAGCAGGTTTTGACTACGCTGCTGACCTGCTTATCAAATTTAAAAGCGCTATTGAAGGTCACTCCAAGGTTCATGACAAAGGGGAGGATGTTTTTTTGAGGGAGCCCAGAATATCCATGGTCCTGAACTACAAACTATAAATGTAACATTTCAGCAATCAGCATTGAAACATGTGCTATTGTAAATATGTTGCCGATATATTACACTACTTCGTTACTATCTACATAAAGTAACTCGTTACTTTACTCGCCGAGCACATGCGTGAGTGGCAATAACTTTCCTTACCAGCAGGCGGCGGTAGTGTGTATTTGTCATTCAAAACAGACAACAACCGGAAGACAGAGAAGAAGAACAGACTACGTGATATAAACAAACAACAAATAGCGTGTGCGGTAGCTTCACCTTAGCATGTGTTCTTTGCAGGTGTTTGTTGAGGTTTGACGTGATGTTTACAGCAGTGGATAACAGCTTCTGGCCTGGACACAGTTTGCACCTCACCGTCACATTCCTGTCTATTCTTCGGACGAACTCAAAATAATGGGCATACCTCCACCCCTCGAAAGTTATCGCTGACTCAGCCATGTTTATGCAGCACTGCACGTGGAGATGTGGACGCACAAGTCGCGCAGATTACGTACATATAAACCTACAAAGTACTGATATAGTAAATTAAAAAGTAATTATTTTTTGTGTAGTTGTATATTGCAATAATAACGTATGGTTGTCACAAAATCCCGCGGCACACCCTTTGGGAACCACTGCAGTAGGGTATAATGAGTTCTTGAAGGTAAGATGGCGCCTGCCCATTAAGGGCTTTGTAGGCGAGAAGAATAATTTTAAATGATATCCTGTGTTCTACAGTATAGGGAGCCAGTGTAAGGCAGCCAGAACAGGAGTAATGTGGTCCCTTTTCCTAACTCTGGTTAGTACACGAGCTGCAGCATTTTGAATCAGCTGAAGCGACTTGACTGACTTCTTGGTACTCCCTGATAATAAAGAGTTACAATAATCCAGCCTTGAAGTAACAAATGCATGGACTAGTTTCTCTGCATCGTTTTGAGGCAAGATATGCCTAATTTTGGCAATGTTGCGTAGATGGAAGTAGGCGGTCCTTGAGATTAATTTTATGTGGGCGTTAAAGGATAAATCCTGATCAAATATAACACCAAGATTCCTTACAGTCTCACTGGAGGCCAAATTAATGCCATTCATAACTAGTATATATTTAGATAGTTTGTTTCGTAGATTCTTTGGGCCGAGTACAATAACTTCAGTTTTGGTTGTGTTTAACATCAAAAAATGTAAGGTCATCTACTTTTGAAGTTCTTGAGGCAGTCTTGAATTTTATTTAGGTGATTGGTTTCATCAGGCTTGATGGATAAATATTGTTGAGTATCATCCGCATAACAGTGGAAATGTACAGAATGATTCCTTATAATATTGCCTAGCAGAAGCATATATAGTGTGAACAAAATAGGTCCAAGCACTGAGCCCTGTGGCACTCCATGGCTAACTTTGGTTTGCATGGAAGATTCATCGTTGACACGTACAAACTGAGAGCGTTCAGATAGATAGGATCTAAAGCAGTTCCCTGTATGCCAACTAAGTGCTCTAGTCTTTGCAATAGGATATGATGGTCGATAGTATCAAATGCAGCACTGAGATCGAGCAAAACAAGAATAGAGACAAGTCCCTTGTCTGAGGCTATTATAATCAGGGGTGCACATAACTTTGTTGCCCTGGTTCTCAAAGGAGCACCTGGAGATGTTGCTTGGTGCTCATCCTTAAAATGAAATAAACCGTAACTTTTGAGGGGGTCTTGACTTTATTTGCCAGACACACGGCACTAAACACACGTGCAGAGGTGAACACAGAACACACATGCAGAGGTGAACACAAGACAACATTAGCACGACCAGTAATCCTAAAAGCTGTCATCACTACCCTCCAGTTGTAAAGGATATTTTTGGTTACTGTCCTATAGTATACATTGGAATGATTTAAAACCTGTTTATCCCAATAATTATAAAGGAGTGCCTTGGAAATATGTGTTTACATAAATTGTGACCAAACCGTTTGAACTTAGACTGAGAGTCCTTTACCTCACTGAGCTGTAGTTAACTTATCAACCTCTCAGTCTGACTGGAGAGGACTCTCCCTCCACATTATTGTAGAAACATCTTCTTCTTATATCCGTTAGAGCAGCTAGCACGGCACCAGATTCTAATAACAACAGCGCTGGTACCGGTGCACCCTCCCTCTCTCCCTCGCTCGCATTTTGGCTGTGAGCTGCGGGCGCCAGATAAGCCAACATCCCCCATTTTCATCACTTACAGCGCCCATCGTACAGGGCAAATGAAACGTGTAACCGGGGTGAAAAGGGTGTTACATTTACTTAATTATGAATATTGTTACATCAAGGCCGAAAATTAGGATGAGCCCCAACGGTCAAAATGTTTTTTTCCCTCCCAGAACTGCCAGGACAGCACCTCCCCAGGCGAACATCTAGCCGGTCGGTCGGTCGCTCTCTCTCTCTCTCTCTCTCTCTCCGGTGCTCTTTTTTTGGCGGAGATGCGCACCTGCGCACCAGTTATGTGCAGCCCTGATTATAATGTCATTTGTGACTTTAACCAGAGCTGTCTCTGTGCTATGTGTTCTAAAGCCAGACTGAAAATATTCAAATAAATCATTGTTTTTTAAGTAATCACACAACTGTTTTGCGACCGCTTTCTCAAGAATCTTTGAGAGGAATGGGAGATTAGAAATAGGTCTATATATAATTGGCTAAAACCTCTGTATCGAAGTTGTGCTTTTTAAGAAGAGGTTTTATTACTTCAACTTTAAATGATTGTGGAACATAGCCTGATAATAAAGGCATATTCATAATATTTAATAAAGAAGTGCTAATTAATGGAAAAACTTATTTTAACAGCTTAGTTGGAATTGGGTCTAAGATACACATTGATGGTTTAGAAGAAAAAATCATTGAATTTAATTGTTCAAGGTTTATGGCTGAAAAGCATTCTAGTTTACTATCTAGTGTAATATTAGAACTTACGTTTCCAGGAGCTGTTGATAACACTATACTGGTCAAAGGCAAGAGGTCATTAATTTTATCGTTAAAAAGGCACATAAAATCATTGCTACTGAGTGCTATGGGAATAGAAGGCTCAATCGAGCTGTGGCTCTCTGTCAGCCTGGCTACGGTGCTGAAAATAAATCTTGCATTATTCTTATTCTCATCTATTAATGAAGAGTAGTAGGCTGCTCTCGCTTTACGCAGTGCTTTCTTATATTCATTGAGTGTAATATGCCAAATTAAACGAGATTCTTCAAATTTAGTGGAACGCCATATCCTTTCAAGTTGTCTCGACTTTTGCTTTATTTGGCGTAGAGGGTGCATGAAGGACACTGAAAATGCTGCACCTGATACAGCCTTTCGGCCTCAAATTTGGCATAGGTCCATTCCAGAAAGGACTTCTGCAGTGTGTCGCCACATATCTTACCACTCTAAAAGCAAATAGAAAGGATTTTTTAAAATTAAAATCATACAAATTTGTATGATTTTAATTTTAAAAAAAATGTATATGTTGAACTTAAACTACCACAGTACAATTTAAAAATTGTACATTTACTTCCATCTTGTACTCACCCGACCGAAGACCTTTGTCCGATGTTCGAGCATGCTGACAAAAGCTTGCCGTGACATTCCAGGGGCAGTGATCTTGAGATCTTTGTAGGTAGTGAACAAATCCACTGCGTACAAGGTCTCAAAATTGACAGTGGCTGGCCGATAGCCACTTTAAACCAGAACACCTATGCCTATCGACCAAGTATTTTCACAGGTGCAGTTTATTTGTGGAAGGAACAGATTGTACTGCCTGAAATTTAAAGAGACAAATAATTACTATGATACAGTATCAAGTACAAAAAAAAAATGGTTTCATACATTTCTGATCTGATAGTTTAAATTAAGTATGACAAAGAGTTAAAATGCATTTGAATCCCTGGCACAAAAGCGGAATAAATAACAGCAAAAAAAACAAAGAAAAAAGTCTTGAAATGTTCATAACATTAATTCCAATCAAAATGACTTCCTTTCCTGTGGAAATACTTGTTTGCCCAGAAGCACAATCGCAGCAGGGATGCATTATCGCTATGAAGCATTCTAGAAAGCAACAATTGAAAGTCAATTAGAGTTATAGTTAATTTATTATTAGCATCTTTTGATCAAATACATCTTCCCCCAGGAAGTTTTTTTAACCTAATTTACTAATTGTAGTATATAATATAAAAGTCCTGTGTGATTTTTAGTTTAACAAGTACCTCTTTCATGGTATTATAACTTTCCTCCCTCATCTTCCGTGATGTGAGTGGATGGTGACAGTGGCCTTAAGAACCCTTCTACCATAGAAGATCTGTTGTGGAGTATGTTGAATTGTGTTCGTTGTTCTCACGTCCAGGAGAGAAGCTTAAAATAAAGAGACTAATGGAGTCTCTGAAAAGGCTCAATTTGGTACTTTAATTAAGTAGCGTGGTAATGAAACAAACAGAGGAGTAGTGGAGACAGCAGCTGTTATCTCGAAGTTGGTGCGTTGGAGAGCGAGAACACGTTGGTTCTCTGACTGTATCTCATTCAGAGCTCCTCCTCTTCAATGGCGGCCGGTGACGGGGGTCCTCCCACCACTTTCTTCTATGTCCGATATCGCGTAAAACAGAGGATTTAGACGTTGTGTATTCATTGCATAACTCCACGCCTTTTCTCCTCATACACTCTTTCATGACTTTTTATTTAATGCATTTTAACGGCTGTAATCAATGTTAATGTAAAACCTAGAGCATGGCCTTTCAATACAGCTTTTCAAAATAAACTTTAACCGGAACTGTTAAAAAAACAGAATAAAACAGCTTACTGTGTGTTCAAGCTAAATTACGTCATTCAATATTGATTTTAATTTCTTACAAGTACACTCGATTGATGTATGGCAACATCACAGGCAGTGCAGGAAAGAGGTCTTGGCAAACAATCTTGACATGTTACGACTGCAACCTTTTGTCGACAGTGTTAGCAAACCCCCTCTTTAGGTTTCTCAGAAGATAACATCTGATTAACCATAAAAGGCCTTAACACCGTCCACTTTTCCAAGGTGTATGCTTGTCATTCCTTCCACTGTGAAGAGAGAGGTTCTTCACTAGGAAGTCCTAAAAGTTATTGTACCTCTTGTAGCCTTAAAAATGAAGTAGAAAAAGTACATATATAAAGCAAAGGTAAATCTAGCTAACCACTACATGTTAAGTGGGGAAACAATCATCATTAAGTGTAGGAAAAACATACCTAAGCTTTGGATGGTCCCAGTCTCGCTCTCTTGACCACTAGTAGACGGAGTAAAGATCTACGCATCTTGAAGCCCCTGCAAAAGTGTGAAGATGCATTTAATAACTTGCTTGAAGAATATGTGAATTTATTGATCTACAATCAATTGATGTAAACAACAAACAAAACAAAAACCAGTGGCCGAACTCCGCTTCCGTTGATCTCCGTTTCTCTCCAGTTCGCCTCCTTTTTGGCATTGGTTGACCGTCATGGTCCTCTTCAAGCCAAACCATTGGTGCTGTACTTGTTTGCGACCCTCCTGCTGTTGGTTTACTTTGATCCTCCTATAAATCATAATCAGAACACATTTACTTAAAACACCACCTACACATTATGATAATCTCATTATGAAAACTTCACTGTCATTGCATTATACATTTGGTCAAAAAATATATAGAACTGTGCTTACATTATAGGCCATGATATTTAAAGCTAGAGTACGAAATATTATGAAAGAATGTCGAACAAAGCTGTAACGATCAACTATCTAAAATAGTTGTGTTAATTAAACGCACAAGGGGTTCTTGAATGAAATAATATTATAAAGGTAAACAGAAATAATAAACGGATAATCTGCTCCTTAAACAAAATAAACGGAGACAGATTTCATGCATGGATCCATTATATTGACAGTTTTCCAGCCAAACAACACAAACAAAATTAAACAGTCCGCTCTGCGATACACAACAAGTGTCTTTACTGCCTAATCCAGGCTATTGTTCATTGACAAAACAAGGCTGTTGCTCCTGCGCCCGTCGGCGGCAAAAACAGAAATGTTTGTAGGCCTTTTCAGGCTAAATTCCACAAAAAAAGGAAACACGAGGTCCAGCGTGGCACAAAGGAGCGATCTCACCCTGTGTCGGACAGAATCTCTCTATCTGTGCGCGTCCTCTCCAAGGAGACGTGCTTCCAGGTCGGTCGATGCAATATCCACATACGGTTACTTTCAGTTACTTCCCCATTGCATTTTAACATATATACATGCTGAGAAAACGTACATATCCCGCTGAATACCCGCATTCACCACACACAGGCTTCCTCCTCCCGTGAGAACCACCTATGGCATCCTGTTGACGCGCCCACTAAAAAGCCTCTGGGCGCGCCGCGACAGGTGAATATGCAAATGAGGCTTGCAGAACCACACCCTCAAACCTTACATAAAAGTGGACCTTTAACGACTGTAGTTGCGAGGATAATACACATGCATTGTAGCGTCCCCAGCTGAATAATGGTCATACTCTCGAACTGATGGTATCCTTTTATTGTACACCCTTGAATGTATACATTACGTATCAACGTACCAAGGTAAGAGCTAAGAAAATAAAGAAAACACAATAATTAGCCACCATCTCACAGATAAAACATCTCCATTTCTTGCATTTATAAACGTTACATTTCTAATATAAACTAAATAATGCAATTATAGCTCACTACTGCCCCCTAACTAACAGAGCAGAACGCATGTCGGCTAATATAGCAGTTTTGCTAATTCAAAAGCATGGACTCAAAACTCTGCAAAACTACGAAATAACACCACATAATATCAATACACATATTAATTAAAGTAATAACAAACCTTGTGCCCCTATCAGCCAGGTGCTAAAAACACAACGTAACTAATTATTTGATGTTACTTTTCCGTCATTCATCCGTCATTACACGTGTTTACACTCCTTCGTTCTCTATTCATTTCCGGCAAAAGTCCCTTCAAAATAAAAGTTCGGATCTTATAACTATCAAAATAAAAGTACAAAACTAAAACTTTACCACAGGAAAACATCGGCACACAAATATAACCACCTCTACAAAAGGTTAAACATATTAAAGGTCATTTACATGCATCATAGATTTTCATTTCATTTGAATCTAAACTACATGCCTTAACCCTTTCCCCTGCCCCTACAGTTTATAAGAAACACTGAGATCAATATGCGACTGTCACAAAGCTAATGTTATCAGTGTTTCACACGTGCTAACCAATACTAACGTTAGCTCTTCACTCTAGCTTTCACATTTCGGAGATACCTTTAAAACAAACTTACCACAAAGTCATCCAAGAGCACATCAGCAATACATATTGCGTCATTTTCTTCCAGTGGATTCATTGTGCAAATCAGAAAGTATATGACGACTTTCCGATTGTACTGCTAATATCGATTCTGAGACTTTCTGCCCGAACTTTAAAACGTAGCCTCCTAAAACCGGCATCCCCCGTCTCTCTGCCAATCACAGAGCTGCACAGTAATGCTTGTCGGTGTGCAGGCCTGTGGTTGAGGGAGCAGAGGGGGGAGGGCTGGAGAGTGTGTGACGTTGAACCTGCTGTGGTGTGTGTGAGTTAGTGGAGTACTAAGAGGTTTCTCAATACTCAGATTTCCCCTCCTCGACTCCTCGCAGAAGATACGAGCGGAGGACCGAGGAGGGGAACCGAGGAGAGAGGAGGGGAAGCAGCAGGCGGTTAGAGAAATGAGAACTCCTCTCCTCTGAGCGGTCATTTTAAAGAGACGTCCATTAATGATGACAGGAGGCACAGCAGTCTGATGGACAGATGTGTTCAAGATGACTTATATATTTACTTTGATTCAGTGACAGTGCGGTATAATGAGACAATAACAGGCGACAGATGCGGACACACACACATATATTTATATAAATATATACAATTTCAGAATCAAACAAGTATGAGAGCACACTCTCATAATAAATCTAACATCACATGACGCTAGCCATTAGAATTGCACAGGGGAAAATAACGTATCTATGCCACAATTTTAGATGCAGATTTTGTTAAATACGTTTGTGCTGTGGACCAACACAATATAAATTGACGGAGAAGGGGGTGCGTAGCATTATCACAATATCAGAGGCGTTATTGCGCCGTGCACTAACAATAAAGATAACAATATAACAGAAATAATATACCATCAGAGATAATGTTTAAACCACATGCTTGTTAGCATTAGCAACACTTACAAGACGTTGAAAGTACACAATTTCCTGAGGCATTTTTGTGAAACTGCTACGTTCGAACAGCAATATGAATAAATGAGGGCAAAGACGTTTTAATATTACAATTTGAGAGCATACACAATGTTTAACCAATAGCAGCGTCCCTAGAAACCACCTTGGTAACAATGAAAACGTTGTCTGTACACAATTTCCTGAAGTAATCTTCGTAATAACTAACAAACTAAATATCATGTAAATCCACTGCACAAATAATCTGAAATAACAACTCATATTTCTCGCATAAAATGACATCAAAACACATTTTAATGGCCAAACTAACCTTAAAATAGGCATTTTACACCGAGAATAAAACAAATGTCGGCCATGTTTTCTTTTTCTGTGGAGAGAAAGTTGAAGATCGCATGACAGACGCCAGCCATTGGAAATGAATGGTGAAAAAAAATGTAGGGATCCTACAATTTCAGAGGTTTTTTTGTAGAAATACAACGTCCCAAGTTGTGGACCAATGTAGTTATTACACGTTTAGATGTGAGACTGTGTTGGAATATCTCCTAGCCTCTTTAAGCTCACTCTCTTTGCTGTTGTGATTTACTGTTTGGTCCAGTCTCAGCACTTTCTATCACAACCTTTGCCAACTCTTAGCGATATGGCATGGAAACAGAAATGTTATTCCAAATCATGCCACCCGGCAATCGTGTATCTATCTTCACCGAAGCTGAGCCGCCCATTTACCCACCTCCAGCTGATTCTCTCATCAGTAAATATCTATAAATACCTATAGGCCTAATGTCATGTGTAAGCTTTTCACTGTTTCTGGTTCCTATATAGCATGTGATTCTTGGACTTTGGATTTGACTCTTGTTAAAGTGATCTCCCAATTTCTAACCCCTACTGGTGCTGTTTGGATTGTCTTTTTCCCCTCACCCAGTCATTACATTTCCCATAGAAGGTTCCAGCAGGAGCAAGTAATTTCTAGTAAACAAGCTTAGATAAATGCTACTTGCCTAGCATCAAACGGCTCACAAAGTTGACTACTACACAACTGGAACATTTAGCAGCAGAGTATTTACCCCAATAGTAAGGTAAAGCAAAGCACATCTCATTTCCAGCCTGTCCTCCTCCAAAAAACGACTAAATAAGGCGATTGTTCAGCAGCTTATTACGACCTGTTACGACCCGCCCTCTACTCCGTGGTAGTGGCTCGTAGGGAGACCCGCAACATAAAATACACGCAAAAACCCGGTACTTGTTAATGAGAATTTATTAGAGATCAGCCGTTTACTCACACAAGCATAAAGGGTAACACAAGGAGGTCTGGGGGGTATACTACGAAGCAGGATTTTCGCTTAGCCGGCTAAATTCAGGGAAAACTCCGGCTTTCCGGTCCTACGAAGCTGGTTCTCTTTTTAGCAGGCTAGATCTCCATGGTAACTTATGCTTAGCGGCTAACCTGGTCGGGACCAGGTTAGGTTGCAGGCTAAGAGCTCAACTCAGTGAAAGCACTGCCTGCTGACCAATCAGAGCTCAGTGTGCGGAGTTTAAAGCGATCAAGTCATATTACAGGAGAAAGGAAATACAGAAAAGCTGCCGTCGCAGGAAAGACGGCCGGCAAAAATCACCGACTGTGTGAACGTGAACATTAATAGAATATCACCTCCCATCTTCAGAGCAATCTGACTATTATAACATTAGCGTTAAGAACACTTACCACATATCTACCACAACATAAGTAATCGGATCAGAGTAACATTAAGTACAGTTCGCGGCATATCACTTAATGTAGCCTATCATATATTTTCTTATCTGAGTCGTATCTGGCCGTGCAACACTCACAGTGTCACATAGGCCTACTGTATGCAGAAGTATTATTTTAAGCAACACATTAAGTTGACGAAACACTCGAGACAAATGTAATTAAAGTCAGATCGTGTCTTAGACGGGGCAGTGATATCATAAACCTGTTAATGTACACATTCAAACACTTTTTCTTTTGCCAGCTGTATTCACCTTGCAGGTGCAACTATGTGGATTTTATCCTGGATAAAGTGTTTAAGTCATGGATGTTTAAAGTTTAACTTCTTCATTTTTGACTAGTATTACAGTTCACTTTTCATTCAGGAAGTATGACGCTGCGCTGTCAGTATGCTTCTCCATGTTTGTGATTGGTCGAATGCTCCAAATACCACCCCTTTCATGTGAACGCGCACCTAACTAGATAGGAAACGGCTGGCTTGAGCGATCCACTTGATAACCAGCGTCGTAGTACAGTTTAGCGAGAGCGCGTATGTTTTGGATTAGGCCAACCGGCTAACTCAAACATATACAGGTTAGGTTGAACCAGCTTCGTAGTATAGGCCCCTGGAGGACTGGCCAAAAATAACAAACAGACGGAGGGAACCTGAGCCAGCCACACCACGGCCCGTAGGACCCAGAGCTCCCCCCCTAACCAGAACTCAAACATAAAGCCGCTAAAACTGGACTACCAGGTCCTCCAGGCTAAACATAAAAGCATCTGCAAAAACACAGCCTAAAGCTCAACATGGGAAAGAGATAATGTCTGGAGAGAGTGTCTCCTGGCGTTAAGATAGCCATGTTATAAGGAGAAACTGGAGGTGGCCTGAGTGGAATTGGGAACACCTGGGCAGAGGCGGAGCCAGGGGCAGACCAGGTGCACCGCAGCAGGGAGACATAAAAGACAACACGGAGGGGAACAAGTAACATCCCCACCATGAGTTAGTGATTTTTGTGAGTGACAAAACAATCACAACAATCAACTCTGAGTTGACAGACGAGCTCATGACTACGTTTGTCTTTAACGACCACTCAATCCACACACCGAAGAGGCAAATACCATTCAATACACCAAAAAAAACACTTGCAACAACTGCGACGATGCATACAAATACCCCACCGCATCAATCTTTGACTTGTGGTACGCATCCTCTGCAAAAACACAAGGGGGTTGTGATCGGTAAGAACAGTGACAGGAATGTTTGATGACCCAACATACAGATGGAGCACTCCAGATCAGACTCAGATGGGTGTGTCCCAGTCAAAAGCCCAGCGAATACCAGTGGCTGGGGGTGTTGCCAAA